CATAGAGAGAAAGTACAATGGTGGTCGCCAGGGGCTGTAGAAACAGGGATGGGGAATAATTATTTAATGGGTATAGAATTTCAGTTTTGCAGATAGAGTTCTGGCGATGGATGGTGGCTAAACTAGCCAGAAACTCTCAGAAACAGTGTTAGAGTGACAATGAGCTACTTTCCACCCACACTGGCTGTCTACTGGGTCATTATCAACAAGATACAAAAACAGTAACTCTTCCCACCTCAGAAAACCCTCCTTTGATCCTCCGTCTCTTAATAATATGGCCTCATTTTTTCGGTAGCAGTTTAGAGCAAAATTTGAAAGAATTGTAAATACTCTGTGTCACAGACCACTGTTCTTTGCTCTTAGGGGGATGGTATATCAGGCACCTGATCCCATATGGAAGTTTGAAGAACCAAATACGTCCTCTTGTCCCAGCACTGGCAAGAGGGAATGCAAAACCTCAGTTCAGCCAAATGGGTGCTCTCTCCTGTGACTTTGATCTTGAGAGCATGATATGAAGACTAAGGAAGGAAATGGTTCACATTCATTCATCTCAGTGGGGACAGCGTGACCCGGCTGTTTCTGGCCTGAGTGCTCCTCTTTGATTCCTTCTTCCCAGTCCTCTAGAGGGGCTCCTTCTCATTTTCAAGTTTGGTCCCACAGCTTCCCATCTCTTTTGGAGCCGTTCAATGACCTCCCCCAGTTTTGCAGACAGAGTTCTGGTGATGGATTTCATTATGTTGGTCAGTGTTGACTTTTGTTACTTGAAAACAAAATATTGAAGAACATAGGAAGCATTGATATTTCAGACAAAAGGAGAGCACGCATGCCAGAGGCAATGGTTTCTTTTGTGTGTGTGTGTGTGTGTTTTCCTGGCACTCATATCATTGCCATAGTTACTTTTGGTTATCTGCGCCTTTCTTTTCCACACCAGACATGAGAGTCCTTAATATGCAGAATGCTTAGATTTATTCATTCCAAATTGAAATAGATTTATTTATTGTGTCAGATGTTACAATTTTAAAAAAGCAATGTCAGGAAGATAGCAATCTCTTCCCTTCTATCATGGAAAGTGAAGCCTATTTGCCATTGAACCATTTCCAGGGGTGATACCACTCCACAGGTAGTCTTTTACAAGAACATCCTAGATAGGCATGTTGTTGCTTCAAGAGTTTCTCCAAGCATAGTTTTACTCCAGGAAATATACCAGTAGTGCTTTTACAAACTGACAGTCCAGATATATTCAAGAGGCACCACAGTAATTTAGCACTTAAAGAAAATGAAATAGAATAGAACTCAGCTACTCAAGATGCAGTTCGATAGACAGAAACATCCACTTAGGAGTTTGTTAAAATATAGGCACCCCTAACCCCAGATACTGAATCAGAATCACATATTAACAAAATATGTAGCTGTTTAACATGCACATTGAAGTCTGAGAAGCACTAGAACAGAAAATATATGGACATGATGTATAAGTGTGTTGTTCCATGAAACTTGTTGCAATTATATGCATATGAAGATACGGATTTGGCCATGATGAAAAATGTACTTCTTTGGTAAATTTTTTTTACAGTAAAATAAAATTTAGAGAGAGTGATGTATGTAAGATGCCCAATAATGCATCCTCGTCATATCCTCCCTTTCCAACAACAATAATTTTTAAAAAAATATATTTTATTGATTTTTTTACAGAGAGGAAGGGAGAGGGATAGCAAGTTAGAAACATCGATTCAGCTGCTTCCTGCACACTCCCTACTGGGGATGTGCCCGCAACTCAGGTACATGCCCTTGACTGGAATCGAACCTGGGACCCTTGAGTCCGCAGGCCAACGCTCTATCCGCTGAACCAAACCAGTTAGGGCAACAATAATTTGGTATCGATCCACTAACAAAAGTGACTTTGTGAGCGCTGTGGGATCTGGAACAAGATGGCCAAAGGGTCCAGGGGGAGTCTTTTCCACTGGTGAGTCAGGTAGTAGGTGTAAACACCTCAGTCATGGCTTTGGACCCTAAAGTGGCCCACGAGCCAATATAGTCCCTGTGAGTGAGGTCCAAGAGCCCCTGGAGAGCACTGACTTAGTCACACATGGCTGAAAAAGCCTTTGAAAAGTCCAAGAGCTCAGTGGGGAAGTTCCGATACACCATGGAGCAAAAACTGCAACAGGACGCACTGGAGAAGGTAAGAGGAACAGTTTAACTTTATGCGCATCACTGCCCCCTTAAGGTGGCACAGCTCAGTGCCAAGACAGCCCTTTTCCACCTGTGATTCCTCTCTGGGAAATGTAAAAGCATGGAGTGAGCACCTGTTTTCCCAAGCTGTGCAGGATCCTGCCAAGAGGCCCATTTCTCTTTAGCCTCATCCAGAGTACTGAGCTGGGAGCCATATGACTGAGGGGCAGCAAGCGGACAGGAAAACAGCAGCAGATATAGCTCCTACTAACTGTGTCACAGAGTTCACTGGGAGGACCGCCCATCAGTCACAGGTGGTCAATTCTGTGAGCACCAGTCTATATTGTACCGAAGACATGATTGAGAGCACTACAGAGAGGGAGCCATGGGTATAAGAAGCCAATCTTGTTTGCTAAGAGAGAGAATTGCCAGGCTGACTTGACTTCCTTTATTGGAAATATTACCAGACAGGTAAATTGAAGACATGAGAATATATCTGGATTTATGAAGTAATTGAAACAAACCAAAAAAAATCCCATGAAATCCTGTAGCTCAGATGAAGAGAGTGGGCTGAAATGTAATAGAGTTTTATTTACAAGTGGTTGAATGACATTATAGGATGTGAATGGAAAATAAAGTCTTATTAGGATATGCCTTTGATATTTATTTATTTATTTATTTATTTATTTATTTATCCTCACCCAAGGATTTTTTTCCATTGATTTTTCAGAGAGAGTAGAAGAGAGAGGGAAAGACAGCAAGAAACATCGATGTAAGAGAAGCACATCGATTGGTTGCCTCCTGCACGAGCCCCTCCCAGGGCCTGGTCCGGGAGGATCCTGCAACCAAGGTAACTGCCTTTGACCAGAATTGAACCCAGGACCCTTTGGTCTATAGGCCGACGCTCTACCCACTGAGTCAAACCAGCTAGGGCTGCCTTTGACTTTTAGCTGCTTCCACATATTTAGTCAGTATTTGCTTAAAAGCACTGTGGCTTGCTGGTCAAATTTCACACATCTTGACTGTGAGCTAGTTAACTAATACGCTAGGACGAGAATTAGCTCCATCGGGATCTCAACAAGTTCTAAAATGGATCAGATATAGAACAATGGCATTTCGTGGGATTGTGTGACTAGTCCTGTAAGATTACTATGAAAGTCCCGACTAGTATAAATAATATTTTTAAAAGTCAGGCTTAAGAGCAAATGTGAAAAATAATTGTTTTAGTAGGTTATAAATTCTATGTTAACAGAATGGTATAGTTAATAACAACAACAAAGAAGCCCATTTAATCTCACATTATATGAATAGTGTTTATAGTATTTAGAATAAAGGTAGGAAAAGTCTCACACTAATCCAGGCTGTTGAAGCTTCATCTGAAATGTTTTGTGTGATTCATTTCCGTATATCTCCCAGAGTTCTTTGAAGGAAAACAACAGAAACCAAGTCTACCCAATTCGATACAAATAAATTAAAACACACCAAAAATGGGAGGGAATTTGTACAAAAAGTCGCTCCTAAAAATATCGACAAAAAACAACTTTCTTTTGTGGCAATCAAGGAGTAACTAGATTGGACTTATGCTCCTGCCCTAAACAAGCAAAATTTGGACAAAATAGATGAAACAAACTCTTTTTAGATAGAGGGGCGGGGGAAGGGGAGGAGAGTGTCTAACCTGCAACTTACCTATGTGCCCTGACAGGGAATCAAACCCACGACCTTTCAGTGTAAGAGAGGAGCTCCTACCATGAGCCACACCACCCAGATCAATGGCTAATCTCAAGAACACTGTCATAGGGATCAATCAGCTCTAGATTTATTTGTTCTTGGGCCATTCTGACCAAAGTTCACATACCTGGTGGAGAAGGTCCTGGACAGGAAAAAGCCAGAGGATCCTGACTGACCTTCCCATCCGGACTTTACTAGCGGTGGCAGACTTGGTCCCACAAAGAAAAATGTAGGCACTGTTAACCAGAAGAGGAGGCAATGATGCCTATTTTCCAGGGTGACCAAGGAGAAGCATAATTTTTAGTATGAACTATATGCAGGTGCAGTTCGTGACTGGGGACTCATGTGCATTCGCGGTCTCTATCAAGAGAAAGAAGAGCCCTAGCTGGTTTGGCTCATTGGATAGAGCATGGGCCTGTGGACTGAAGGGTCCCAGGTTCGATTCGGGTCAAGGGCAGGTACCTTGGTTGCGGGCATATCCTCAGTGGGGGGAGTGCAGGAGGCAGCTGATCGATGTTTCTCTCTCATCCATGTTTCTAACTCTCTATCCCTCTCCCTTCCTCTCTGTAAAAAATCAATAAAATATACTTTTTTTAAAAAAGAGAAAGAAGAGTTCATATTCATCTAAAGAAGAGAAGCGGTGGTAGGAGGGGATCATTTGGAGTTGGTTTGGAGCGCAAACTTTTTGTTTGGAAGGCGAGGGAGGATAGAATTCAGCTGAACATATGAACGAACTTTCCAGCAATTAGAAGTTCGTATTTGCTTGGGTTGTCCGGAGAAATTCTTTAGTAAGGAAGAAGAAGGTGGACAGAGAAGTAGATTTCAGAATTCGCGTCCGGCCCATCTGCAGATTGAGAAAAGACTTTCCTTGGTTCTCACTTTCTAACATTGGGTCTCCCGGGACGTCCTTGAGGAGTCGGCAGAGGGAGCCATTCCCCAAGAAATCTGCGCGAGGCCTCGCAGATCTTTTCTTGCGGGTCTGGAGAGTTCTCTTTCCTCCCCGCCTTTGAAAAGTAGGCTCCCTCGGTCCCACCCATCCCCCAACTCCTGGCCCCACCTTCCCTACCACTTTGTGGCCGCCTGGCACCCTCGGGCACCGCTAGGTCACCCGTCTCTTCGTCCCACATTTGCAATCCCTTCTTGCCACTGCTGGGGACGGGCCGTCCACTCTGGCTGGTGGCTCGGGTGCTGTCCCCAAGTCCCCCAAATCCTCCTAAAGGGTCTAGAACACCTCCCGGGTTTTGACCCGGAGGCGCTCACTGGATGTGGTCCGGTCTCAGACGCGCATTCTGCCACTCGCTGCAGTGACCCCAAGGTTTGCCAACTTCGTGACCGGACTCCTGGCGGGGGTCACTCTCGGACGGTGGAAGCCTCCCAAGGCAGGGGCGACCTGCGGTCGGGGCGCAGGAGTCGGGCCGACGGATCCCGGCTGGCTGCAGCAGGGACCGTGCGCGGCGCCAAGCGACGCCCCCTCCAGCGGTCCCTGCCCCTGCGGCGGCAGCTGCAGCAGCGGCAACTGCTCGCATCCAGGCCCGGGCTCGGGTTACTCCCCTCCTCCTCCAGCATCTCGGGCCGGACGGGAAAACCTCACTCAAGTTTGCAGCGAGTACTTTCCCCCCGTGCGCAAAACTGCGCTGAGACCGGCCTCCTTTCCCGCGTTTCCACCTTTGGATCTGAACGAAGACTCCCCCGTGTCGCTCTCTCCTGGAACGCTGCTTGGAGGCCAAGAGCTCAGTGTGGGGCAGGTTTTATTTCTCGGCTGGTGTTCCGTGAACACCAGAGGAAGAGGGTTGCATTGCGAATCTCAGGATCTCTGGACCTGGGTAAGAGTTGGGCACACTCAATGCTGGCAGTCGCTGGACTTTGGCAGGACGGTCGATGGTTTCTTAGGGGGAAAGGGGGGGGGCGGAGAAATGGGGAGACAACGTTTTCCTTCGCCAGGATACCCCGGTTCTGCGTGAAGTCTGGGGAGATGGGATCAGCCTAGGTTGTTTACAAGGGTTTATGGTTATTGTTTACATTTGGTCTTGTTACTTGGGGCTTGTAGGAACTTGGAGTATTTTTCATGGGGACACATCCCCATTATGCATTTTATTTTGCATAATTTCTGCCCTTGTATTTATTGCCTTGTCTATTTTGTGATGACGGGTGTAGAGAGACTTGGGAGCAATAAGACAGAATGAAAAGTAGTTTCGCAGGACCTTCCTTTGAGATCAGCTTCCCTTCTCTGGGATCTTGACTTGTTTCCTAACTTTTCTTTCTCCAGTACTTGATATTCAGATGGTGCAGATAGACTTGGGATAATCCCACCTCCCCCATTCTCAGCGTCCTGTGAGGGGTCAGGAGAGCAGGCTGGCTGGCTTACAGGAGAGGGGTCTCTTCCTTGTATGAATACCTGGTTCCTCAAGGAATGTTGGAGTGTGAAGGGGAGGGGGTGGGGGGGGGGGTGATCCTTCAAGCCATAGTTACCATAGAAAGATCTATGTCATGTTGATCTTTTAAATTCCTTCCATCTAGGACTTTTACCCCTGGTTTAGGAAAATGTTTTGTCTTTTTTTTTTTTTCCTTCTGGAAGTTACTAGTAGAATGATCCCACCGAGTAAATGAAGTATAATGATGTTTCTTTAGAAAAATATCCTCACATGAAGATCCAAATTCTTTTTAAAATATATTTGTATTGATTTCAGAGAAGAAGGGAGAAGGAGAGATAGAAACATCAATGATGAGAAAGAATCATTGATCGGCTGCCTCCTGCACTTCCCCCCCTGCCCTAACTGGGAATCGAACTATGACCTCCTGGTTCATAGGTCAGCGCTCAACCACTGAGCCACTCCAGTTGGGCAAGGACCCATGTTCTTTAGAGGAAAATTAAAGATTTGATTAGTCCAAAAGTTTTTAGGTTCCCAAGGCAGAGGAGAATGACATTCCTTCTTGGTTCTCCTTGCCTTTCTCCTTTATATCCTGGGTCTCACTTTCTATAGGGTCTTCTCAACTTACAGATGCTTCATTCCTTATGGATGAAAAGACTGGGACCAGGTCGTATTCTCCAGAAATGCCTTCTTCCTGATGGGACTGCTCCAAGAGGTCAGCTTGCAGGGTAGTTTTTCTCTGGTGCTCTGAGGTCAGAGAGTTGAGTCGATCATGAGCTCTGGGACCAGGTAGCCTGAAGTCATCTCTCAACTCTGCACTTCCCAGTTGTGTGATTTTGGTCATTATTTAACCTCTCTATTCTCATCTATAAAATCAGGATGATAATACAGTGCTTATACCAGAGGGTTGTTAAAAGGATTAAGTGAGTTAATGCGTGTGGTGTGCTAACAAGCTTGGCAGATGATAAGCAAGTAAGCACTAGATATTATTATAATTAGGCTAATATTGGTAACTTGCTGTATTAGGATAATAGAGCTGTTATTAACTGTCATTGTGTTAGCTATTATTTCTCTTTGGATGGCCTTTGAAGGTCGTGCTCTTTTGGGCTTGGCTCCCCCCAGGACATAATGTATTGTCAGATTTACCTCGGACATGATCTTTCTGTTGGGCCCCTTTGGAGGAAAGAAAGTGTATGTGGCAGGGCTGGGATTGTAGTGGAGGGGTCATGGTTGTGTGCCAAAGGGTTATTGGGACAGGCTAGCAGGTGGGACATCTATACTTACTTTACAATCTGTAAACTACACTGCCATAGAAACTCCTTGCATTAATATACTTCCTTTAACCTATTTTTTAAGAGGCCAATCATTTATTCAGTAGTTATTTATAAAGCATCTATTACATGTCAAGCACTGCTCTAGGTCCTATGTTAAGTTCATTAGCTTTATTTTAAAAATGGATGTGCATGAGTATTTACTTTAACCTCCCCCCACCTCATTTCACACATATTAGGGCTTTGTGCAATACTAGCACCCTATAAATTAAATCTAAAATATTTTTAGCTACATTTCTTTTAGTAGCTGTTAAAGTGAAGAGCATGTATCGCTGAAGAATTGAACAAAATAGTCAGTATAAGTTCTAGCAGTGTTCTTCTCCCATCAGCTTCAACATAAACTTGTGTAGGGAGGCAGGAAAAAAGCTGGATAACCTAGCATTCCTTCTGACTCTAAAATCTTTAAATTAGTGGCCTTCATTGATGGTTGTTTTGAAACCTTTTTTAAAACATTTGTTTTGAGTACATAAATATGCCACTTCTATTGTTGCATGTTAATCAAAGTAAGTAATGACACTAACAATTAGTAAAAAAGGAAAAGTATTTAGTTCTGCTTGTATTTCGTCAGCTATTCTTAGACTTTGATGTATATCAAGCATGGAGGAAGCTTGTTTAAAAATAACAGACTGAATTGTGAGAAATTGCTAAAGTTTGACATTTTGACCTACATAAAATGGAAATTTAATATCATTCAACCTAATATAAATCCTAGCCCCCTCTGCTTTGGTTCAGGTGCAGTAAGTCTTGGGTGAAGTGTGAGAAGTCTACAGTTTTACAAAAGTTCCCCAGATGATTCTAATACAAACCCAAGTCACCTGCTTATTTAGCAGCAACAGCTTTACCTTCCTCATGATCGCCTCCTTGGTCTAACAGCATGTTTCTAAAATACAGATCTGATCATGTCATTCCCTCGTTTAAAAATCCATGGCAAATCCCCAGATGGTGACCATCCGTGTCACCCAGGTGCTTATTGAAAATGCAGATTGCAGGGCTGTACCCCAGATGCAAGGGCCAGAAATCTGCATTTAACAGATCCCCTAGTGATTCTGGTGGAGGTGACTGCATATCACATTTGGAGAAACACTGGCTTATAGCAGTGCCGGGAGCTGGTCCATCTTTGCTGTTTCAAAGGACCTGGCATATATGGCATACTGTTCTTAATATGTCTGCTCACCTTCTTGGCACTATGTGTTTTAACCAAGGTCACCTCTCTGAGAAAGGTTGTTTCCCCAGGTAGGGATTTTCCCCTGAAGTTAGGGAGGGAATAAAACTCCTTAACTAAGTGCTAGGCGGGTAATTAATCACTTTAACTACGAACAATCATGCTTAAGCTACATAATCTTTACTCCCTGGAATGGAGATAAGAAACGCCCTAACCTTTGGAATTGAGATTGATAGGATTGGAATCAACTGGTATAAATACAGATGTAACAAGACAACAGGACACAGAACCTAGACACAGAACCTAGACACAGAACCTACACAGAACCTAGAGACAGAAGAACTTCGCTGGAGAGAACATGGCAAAAGATCCTGGACAGAAACTGGCCACAGAACCTAGAGACAGAACCTAGTGAGAGAACCTGGCTGAAGAACCTAGAGACAGAACCTGGCTACAGAACCTGGCTGGAGATCCTGGACAGGACCAGTCTGGAGAACCTAGTGACAGAACCTGACGACAGAACCTGAATGGAGATCCTAGATAGAACCAGGAGAAGAGAACCCAACCATGCTGGTCAACTGAACGCTGCCTCCGTGTCATTCCTTCTTCGCCGACTCCGTCCACACCTTTGGGGACCCCTGGACCTGCTGGGGTGGGACCCCAGCATAGCGGAAGCCTAACTTCTCTAACATGGTACACATGGCCAGGTTTGCACTGTCTTCTCTGTGTTGTTTGTCTGCTTCCCTGTTCTCCAAGCATCTAAGCCCCACTGATCTTGATCTCATTACTTTTCCTTGGAGAATACATTGCCTGCTTTCACTCCTCCCTCACCTAGCTGTGTATGCTGTTCCTTCTGCCAGAAATGTCTTTGCTCCTCTTTTCAGTCTAATCAACTATTTACTACCCATTTATCCTTCAAGATAGAGTTCAAATAAGACATCCCCGTGAAACATTTTCTAATTCACATAAACTTAGAGATGTCTCATATGATTCCTACTCTACTTTGTGGATAGCTTTAATATCCTCCATCATATTGAATCAACTATGTTTGTTGTCTGGAGATTCCTACAACTGGGTGGTGAGATGATCATTTCCCATTTATCCAAATGGCTGGCACATAGTAGTTACATAATGAATACCTAAAAAATGGAAGAGAAGAACGAATGAATGAACACTAGTTGACATTTTCTTAGCACACCAAATGTTTGGGACAGTCACTATGTACAGACTGGGGGCTGTGGAGAAGCCAGTCAAGAATTTACAGTCAGGCTAGACATAGACATAGTCTAGAAAGTGAGCAACCTGGAGTGGAAAACGGCCAGAAAGAATATCCTAAGATGACTTATGAAGCACCAGATGCCACTGAATTAATGTCACATGTTTAACACTATGGCAGCACTATGACCATTGACAAAACCTGAGTTTGTCACACCTTTGGGATGGTTTTGGTTGTGAATGACAGTGCCAGGGCACCGAAATGAAAGTGTCAATGTCAATAAAAATAAACAACTTTTGCCTTGTGCTTTTCAGTTTATAAATACCTTTGTATTTGTTTTTGTATTTGATGGGAAACATGGTGACTTGTTCGGTACTGTTTTTCCTATTTTAGTACAGGATGCATTTCTAGAAATAGGTCCAAAGGTTGATTGTGCAAAAGCCTACATATTATAAAGGATGCTTGCCTGAGAAGGCAAAATTTATTATAAAATTTTAAATTACTCCGTGCCATTAGACACAGCATTCAGTGTTTAATGTTTTAATTTTTTCTTTAAACTCCTATAATTTTGGTTATTTTCTTATCTGAACAACAGTTGACCTGCTCATAGTCAATAAATGTCCGATTCTGACTAAAGATTTGCCATTTTTGGCATGACTAATAACTTCTATCTTTATCTAACTTATATTCAGTTTATGATGCAAAACTTTCTTATAATTAATATTATTTTTTAATTCTTAAATAT